ATCTGTTGTCTCACTGAGCGCTGGCCAGTCGGTGGGGGAGGCCCCAGTGGCGCCATCAACTACCCACTCCCCGGGTGGAGCATCTTAAGAAAACAATCTAGGGGCGCAGCAGGTTATCACTTGAACATCCATTAACTGCCCCCTTAATGACAGGGGTGATCTCCTGAGGGAGAAAGTTAAACGCTTTGTGGATGTTCTGATAGCTCTAATGGACACACAATCACTCACCATTAATGGACACACAATCACTCACCATTAATGGACACACAATCCCTCACCAATGATGAAGACACAATCACTCAACATTAATGGACATACAATCACTCACCAATAATGGACACACAATCACTCACCAACAATGGACACACAATCACTCACCATTAATGGACACACAATCACTCACCATTAATGGACACAAAATCACTCACCAATAATGGACACAAAATCACTCACCATTAATGGAAACACAATCACTCACCATTTATGGACACACAATCACTCACCATTAATGGACACACAATCATTCACCATTAATGGACACACAATCACTGACCATTAATGGACACACAATCACTCACCAACAATGGACACACAATCACTCACCATTAATGGACACACAAGCACTCACCATTAATGGACACACAATCACTCAACATTAATGGACACACAATCACTCACCATTAATGGACACACAATCACTCACCAACAATGGACACACAATCACTCACCATTAATGGACAAACAATCACTCACCAATGATGAACACACAATCACTCACCAATGATGTGTAGACAAATTAATAAGGTCTGGCACACTGGAGAGGTAACTCTTTTAAGTCCCAAGGATCAAGTCAACACAAAACAACTCTTAACCATGTTTTTTTTCCAAGTAAATCTATTGAGAGTCATCGTTCCATCAAAGTACTTCACCTCCAGAGTGAGATTTGTATACAAATGACGTCATTAAATGCTCATTTCTACAAGCTAACATTTTGATATTTATTAATTGATCTGAGGAATATCTCATAGGTTTATTTTATTTTGATTCTATCAATTGACGTCCTTTTGTCTCAACTCGCAATAGACCAGCAAACAATGGCGGCCTCAATACGTGAACGTCCCATTTACTAAACTCACTTGACAAAAATGTATTCAGGGCTATTTGATTTTAAATCAGCGCTAACCCCATTCCTGGTACGCTATTTGGCTCTGAACTAGGGTAATAGTCTAGAGTTGATTTTAAATCAGCGCTAACCCCATTCCTGGTACGCTATTGGCTCTGAACTAGGGTAATAGTCTAGAGTTGATTTTAAATCAGCGCTAACCCCATTCCTGGTACGCTATTTGGCTCTGAACTAGGGTAATAGTCTAGAGTTGATTTTAAATCAGCGCTAACCCCATTCCTGGTACGCTATTTGGCTCAAACTAGGGTAATAGTCTAGAGTTGATTTTAAATCAGCGCTAACCCCATTCCTGGTACGCTATTTGGCTCTGAACTAGGGTAATAGTCTAGAGTTGCATCCATTTCAAACCGCAGATTTATTACACACACTAAAAAAAAAAATGTACGCACCAAATGATCTAGCGGTATTTTTAAGAGCCTGATTTAGTGCATTTATTCAGAAGTTCATCTTGCGCGCAATTGAACGCAATAGTGACACTGATGTTACCAATGAATATCAGCTTAGTGGTGACATGAATTGATTGTTACCAATGAATCTCACCTTAGTGGTGACATAAATAGATTGTTATCAATGAAACTCAGCTTTGTGGTGACATGAATAGATTGTTATCAATGAAACTCAGCTTAGTGGTGACATAATTGATTGTTACCAATGAATCTCAGCTTAGTGGGGACATGAATTGATTGTTATAAATGAATCTTAGCTTAGTGGTGACGTGAATTGATTGTTATCAATGAATCTTAGCTTAGTGGTGACATGAGTTGATTGTTACCAATGAATCTCAGCTTAGTGGTGACATGAATTGATTAATATCGATCAATCTCAGCTTAGTGGGGACATGAATTAATTGTTACCAATGAAACTCAGCTTAGTGGTGACATGAATTGATTGTTACCAATGAAACTCAGCTTAGTGGTGACATGAATTGATTAATATCGATCAATCTCAGCTTAGTGGGGACATGAATTAATTGTTACCAATGAAACTCAGCTTAGTGGGGACATGAATTAATTGTTACCAATGAAACTCAGCTTAGTGGTGACATGAATTGATTGTTACCAATGAATCCCAGCTTTGTGGTGAGATGAATTGATTGTTACCAATGAATCCCAGCCTAGTGGGGACATAAATTGATATTACCAATGAAACTCAGCTTAGTGGTGACATGAAATGATTGTTACTAATGAATACAGGCCTAGTGGTGAGATGAATTGATTGTTACCAATGAATCTAACTTAGTGGTGACATGAATTGATTGATATCGATCAATCTCAGCTTAATGGGGACATGAATTGATTGTTACCAATGAATCCCAACTTAGTGGTGACATGAATTTATTGTTACCGATGAATCCCAACTTAGTGGTGACATGAATTTATTGTTACCAATGAATCCCAACTTAGTGGTGACATGAATTTATTGTTACCGATGAATCCCAACTTAGTGGGGACATGAAATGATTGTTACCAATGAATCTCAGCTTATTGGGGACATAATTGATTGTTACCAATGAAACTCAGCTTAGTGGGGACATGAATTAATTGTTACCAATGAAACTCAGCTTAGTGGTGACATGAAATGATTTTTACCAATGAATCCCAGCTTAGTTGTGACATGAATTGTTTATTACCAAAGAATTCTAACCTTGGCACACATTTGATGTCGATGTAACTTTTTTTATTTATTTTTTATTTACATTATTTTTGAATGTTGAATTTTGAACCCTTGTCCAACAGTTGGGACGGTGTCTACACCAAGTACAGATTGAGGACCTATGACTACTCTATTATACCTCTGGTCCACAGGATTGATGACCTATGACTACTCTATTATACCTGTGGTCCGCAGGATTGATAAACTATGACTACTCTATTATGCATGTGGTTAACAGGATTGATGCACTTTGACTATTCTTTTCTACCTATGGTCAACAGGTTGGACGGTGATACAGAAACGCCAAGACGGCTCAGTGGATTTCTTCCGAACTTGGGATGAGTTCAGACACGGCTTTGGCAGCTTGGAGAGTGAGTTCTGGCTGGGCAATGACAACATTCATTACATCACTTCCCAAGGTAGGAGTTATGGTGTGGTGACATCTTTGTGCATGGGGGATACTGAATACGCACACACACACACCCGCTCACACACCACCGCACGCACAGACACATGCACTCACACAAACACACGCACGCACGCACACACTTGAGCCCACACACAAACACTCACATACTCATGTATATCCCCCACATCACACACACGCATTCAACACACACGCAATCACACACAAAGACATGCATTCACGGTCACCCACGCACACCCACACACACACGCGCATGCACGCGCACACAGGCACAAAATATTTGCAGATACTAGTATTTAATATCGCCTTCTAAATCTGTGTGGTTGTGCTCGTGATTGTGTAACCACCTTTGCTTATAGCTGTCCTGTATTGGCTGTGTGTAGAGGTAATGAGGACATTGGTGGTATAATGTATGTGTTAACTGTCTGTAGATGTGATCTGGACATTGGTGGTGTAATGTATTTGTTAACTGTGTGTAGCTGTAATGAGGACATTGGTAGTAATGTATTTGATAACTGTTTGTAGATGTAATGATTACATTGGTGGTAATGTATTTGATAACTAGTTGTAGATGTAATGATTACATTGGTGGTAATGTATTTGATAACTAGTTGTAGATGTAATGATTACATTGGTGGTAATGTATTTGATAACTAGTTGTAGATGTAATGATTACATTGGTGGTAATGTATTTGATAACTGTTTGTAGATGTAATGAGGACATTGGTGGTAATGTATTTGATAACTGTTTGTAGATGTAATGAGGACATTGGTAGTAATGTATTTGATAACTGTTTGTAGATGTAATGATTACATTGGTGGTAATGTATTTTACAACTAACTAAGATTGTCTTAATGTTATTATTTCAGAAGTGTTTACACCGATAGCTACATAGAATGATTTTTTTATTTTTTTTGTTTAGAACCACGTCCTGTTACTTTCAACCAATGAGATCATTAAAAATGAATCTGAAAATAGACACATTTTAATCTTAATGAAATAAAGGTTTTCATGTTATACATAGTTTATTAAACAGGTTTATTTCAAGTTACATTCTTTTCCAGGTCAGTCGGGTTTCTGTTTGTACCAATTGAATGTATTACAATCAGTTCGAATGTCAATCAGTAACAAAATGTCAATGTTGAAGGTGTATTTAAATCCTTGTAACATTTTTGTCAGAATAGCCGAATAGAAAATTGATATTCTGACCAGAAACTTGATTAAAAAATACTTTGTTTAATAATTCAACGGAAAATTCGAGTTGATCGATGGATAACACCATGTATGGATTATACATGTACGATGAGATCATAAAATGAGTATTACACACGGACGATGAGATCATATGAGTACTACACAGGGCTTAAGCCCGAATTTTATTGGGAACATGATACGACCCTCTCGTTCAACATCCCCTAACTCTTTTTAAATTTTTTCCCTCTTCTTTCTATAATTAATCTGATAAAATAAAGCAAAGTTAGATTTTGACTCCAAGAAATCCTCATGTGGCTTTTATTGAAACCATAGAAGTGATGGTTGTGTCTCCTGATCTGACCTTTTGAGTGCGCTGTGGTTAAGGGGAGGTAATCGGGATAAACACGGCGATACGATTGGATGGATTGTAAAGTTATCCTCTGACACCATTACGGACTCCCTGTAACACCATTACGCACACCCTAAACATGTTACAATCTTCCAACAAAACAAAGGAAAAAAAAAACTAACACATACAAACTAGTGTTCCACCAATGTTTTATTGAGTTATATGGTAGTGAAGAATGGACGTAGCATAGAAATTACACAATAGTATTGGAAATAAATATCTATCTATTATATATACATGAAACTTTGGCTGCAACCAAAGAGATTTACATCGCAGGCTTTTTAAAAAAGGGGGACGGATTTGGTCGGCTACAAATCTGTCATACGTTCAGTGGCTACCAGTCACACATTCAATGACTACCAGCGACACATTCAATGACCCCCAGCCACACATTCAATGACCATCAGCCACACATTCAATGACTACCAGCCACACATTCAATGACCCCCAATCACACATCCAGTGACTACCAGCCACACATACAGTGACTACCAGCCACACATTCAATAACTACCAGCAACATATGTAGTGACCACCAGCCACAAATCTAGTGAATACCAGCCACACATCCAGTGACTACCAGCCACACATTCAATAACTACCAGCCACACATCTAGTGACCACCAGCCACAAATCTAGTGAATACCAACCACACATCTAGTGAGTACCAGCCACACATCTAGTGACCACCAGCCACAAATCTAGTAAATACCAGCCACACATCTAGTGAGTACCAGCCACACATCTAGTGACCACCAGCCACACATTCAATGACCCCCAGCCACACATCCAATGACTACCAGCCACACATCCATCGACTACCAGCCAAACATCCAGTGACTACCAGCCACCCATCTAGTGACTACCAGCCACACATCTAGTGACTACCAGCCACACATCTAGTGACTACCAGGCACACATCTAGTGACTACCAGCCTCACATCCAGTGACTACCAGCCACACATCCAGTGACTACCAGCCACACATCTAGTGACTACCAGCCATCATAAAGCATTTGGCATGGTTGATTACGTGGCATGTAAAGGGCATTAATATTCGCCGTGTTGACTTTTAGCATGTTATCTGAGCTATAACTTGTTCCACCTGATACGCCATAGAGTTTGGTCATCTGTCAGGGTGTCTCTCACTGACAACTCTGTCTGGCCTGTAGTTTATATTGTATTCATATCGCTTTCCAGTGCCTGTCAGATTGACATGAATGTTATTTTTGAGATTATTAGTTATTTATTAGAACTGTTTTTTCACATTTTGACGTTATAATATAAATATAACATTTAAACATACGATTTTATTTTATTTTTTTTTAAATATTAATTTTAATATTTATTTTTGTTTATAATTTTTTGTATTAATTTTTTTAGATAATTTTTAAAAAGATATTTGTATTATTTTGTTTACATATTTTTTTTCCCTTTGTTTTCTGAAAGTCTTTCACCTTACCGCGAGAGTTCAGATGCAAGGCCGATAACCTAATAAAAATTAAATTGCTTACGCCTATCGTAGTACTCTCCCTTGAGCATCCTAGATATCTCACTGGCTGTGTCCTTCTTTGGTTTAGGGGTGGGCAGGGCGAGTCTGTTTGGCCCATCTCTGTCCAGGCTTTGAAAAAATCTACGACTGGTGTATGTCCCATCAACAATGGTTTCTGCTCTCATCCTTGTCGTCTGTCTGCAGCGTACACACAGGGGAATGAGAGTGTACGTACATTGGTATGAGAGTGTACGCACATTGGTATGAGAGTATATGCACATTGGTATGACAGTGTACGCACATTGGTATGAGAGTATACGCACATTGGTATGAGAGTATATGCACATTGGTATGACAGTGTACGCACATTGGTATGAGAGTATACGCACATTGGTATGAGAGTATATGCACATTGGTATGACAGTGTACGCACATTGGTATGAGAGTATACGCACATTGGTATGACAGTGTACGCACATTGGTATGAGAGTATACGCACATTGGTATGACAGTGTACGCACATTGGTATGAGAGTGTACGCACATTGGTATGAGAGTATATGCACATTGGTATGACAGTGTACGCACATTGGTATAAGAGTATACGCACATTGGTATGAGAATGTGTACAAATTGCATTGATAATGTGTACACATTGGGTTGAGAATGTGTAAATATGAGATTGAGAATGCGTACACATTTGATTGAGGGACTAAGTTTAAGGAATGGATGCCAGGACAAACAATGGAACAAGATGTATTAAATCTTTGACATTTTAATGGATATATGAATAGTAGCGAATACATAATACATAATACATGGTGTGTATTCCCGTTGTAAAATAGTCCAAGGGGACCCAAAACGTAGCTACCTGTTTCTGATTGGTTCATTGTCTGAGGCCCTGAGTGGGGGAAGCACTACATTACTGATGCTGTCAAATGGGGTGACGTCATCCTCGGTGTAGCCATAGTCTCGTGTAGGGGATCTGACGTCACGCACCTGTGGACAAGAAGTAAAAACACAAACGCCATTAGTGTTACTATTGGTCAAAACAAGTGTTGGGCGTCATCAATATTGGTCACAAGTATAAAGGGGCAGATGGTGTAGGAATAGTTTAAAATAATAGGCCGTGGCTAGAGTCTCACTCACCTAGCCCAGGTATGGCCTGTTTAACAAAGAGTCACTCACCTGACCCAGGTATGGTCGGTTGGAAAAGTTGTCCCTCACTATTTCCGTCCTGGTTGGCGCAACGTTGTCTGACCTGAACATCGGCCTTGACATTGAGAGATTCTCTTTGTCCTCCAGATTATCTGGCCAACGATGATTGGTCAACCTCTGTGTGACGTCTGAGGGTGGTATCTCATTGATTGTGGGCGGGTCATTGTGTGTGACCTTTGACCTCACCCGTGGTGCCCTGGCCGCATAATCTGAAAAGTCTCCAACACTTTGAGGATGCTTGACAGAGGGCTTGTTGTCTGACTTATTGCCCTTGTTGAAAGATTTATTTCCTTGATTAACTGACTTGGTTCCCTGGTTGACTGACTTGGTTCCCTGGTTGACTGACTTGGTTCTCTGGTTGACGGCATTAGCGCCCCCGTTTATAGATTTTACTCCTGGATTAACTGATCTAGTTCCTTGGTTGACTGACTTAGTTCCCGGATAAACTGACTTAGACCCTGGATCAACAGACCTCGAGTCTTCATACACGGCTGAAGGTTCTCCTAAATATGATCCAGGCCCCCGGTCGCTGTTATGAACTGATGGAGCAGGAATTTCATCTCTTCTTGGCAGTGTGTCCTGTGAAGGACTAAACACAAGAAGACATACGGTTAGGTGCTGAGCATCTTAGTGATAGACATCTTAGTGATATACATCTTAGTGCTATACATCTTAGTGATATACATCTTAGTGATATACATCTTAGTCATATACATCTTAGTGATATACATCTTAGTGATATACATCTTAGTGATATACTTCTTAGTGCTATACATCTTAGTGCTATACATCTTAGTGATATACATCTTAGTGATATACATCTTAGTGATATACATCTTAGTGATATACATCTTAGTGATATACATCTTAGTGATAGATATCTTAGTGATATACATTTTAGTGATATACATCTTAGTGATAGACATCTTAGTGATATACATCTTAGTGATATACATCTTAGTGATAGACATCTTAGTGATATACATCTTAGTGCTATACATCTTAGTGATATACATCGTAGTGCTATACATCTTAGTGATATACATCTTAGTGATATACATCTTAGTGATATACATCTTAGTGATATACATCTTAGTGATATACATCTTAGTGATATACATCTTAGTGCTATACATCTTAGTGATATACATCTTAGTGATATACATCTTAGTGATATACATCTTAGTGATATACATCTTAGTGATATACATCTTAGTGCTATACATCTTAGTGATATACATCTTAGTGCTATTCATCTTAGTGATATACATCTTAGTGATATACATCTTAGTGATATACATCTTAGTGATATACATTTTAGTGATATACATCTTAGTGATATACATCTTAGTGATATACATCTTAGTGATATACATCTTAGTGCTATTCATCTTAGTGATATACATCTTAGTGATATACATCTTAGTGATATACATCTTTGTGATATACATTTTAGTGATATACATTTTAGTGATATACATCTTAGTGATATACATCTTAGTGATATACATTTTAGTGATATACATCTTAGTGATATACATCTTAGTGATATACATCTTAGTGATATACATCTTAGTGCTATTCATCTTAGTGATATACATCTTAGTGATATACATCTTAGTGATATACATCTTTTTGATATACATTTTAGTGATATACATTTTAGTGATATACATCTTAGTGATATACATCTTAGTGATATACATTTTAGTGATATACATCTTAGTGATATACATCTTAGTGCTATACAATTTAGTGATATACATCTTAGTGATATACATCTTAGTGATATACATCTTAGTGATATACATCTTAGTGATATACATCTTAGTGATATACATCTTAGTGATATACATCTTAGTGATATACATCTTAGTGATATACATCTTAGTGATATACATCTTAGTGATATACATCTTAGTGATATACATCTTAGTGCTATACATCTTAGTGATATACATCTTAGTGCTATTCATCTTAGTGATATACATCTTAGTGATATACATCTTAGTGATATACATCTTAGTGATATACATTTTAGTGATATACATCTTAGTGATATACATCTTAGTGATATACATCTTAGTGATATACATCTTAGTGCTATTCATCTTAGTGATATACATCTTAGTGATATACATCTTAGTGATATACATCTTTGTGATATACATTTTAGTGATATACATTTTAGTGATATACATCTTAGTGATATACATCTTAGTGATATACATTTTAGTGATATACATCTTAGTGATATACATCTTAGTGATATACATCTTAGTGATATACATCTTAGTGATATACATCTTAGTGATATACATTTTAGTGCTATGCAACATACTGCAATAAAACATAGTGCTTATCAAAATAGCCGTATACCTAAGTGCTAGTCTATACAATATTGTGTTGAACTAAGTATTTTCAACACTAACATATTGCATGTTGGAAGATGGAGGGGAGGGTGTCATTATACGTATGAAAAACATTGATTTAGTAGAAACTAGACTAGAGTCCACGTCTCTTGTGGGCTCAACTTAATAACACAATAAAAGCGACTTCCTTATTGGTCCTTGACTGGATCAGTTATATTGGGCAATATACATTTTATAACAACCCGAATCCCCTAGCCCCCCTCCCCCAACCCCCTGGAACCGGACGCATACACATATGATATGTCGGTGTGACGCCCGCTTGTACTTTATACGAACATATCTCCATTACCTTTGCTCAAAGCTAAATTTATGACATTCAGATTTCTTATCGTAAATTTCCATTCGTAAATTTATGGTCCATTTTCATTTATGGTACAGTTATGGGCTGTTAAGTCATGTTAAGGGTGATTTACATTTTGAAAAAAATTCAAGGACTCTCAAGCTTTTACGCCCCATGTTATGATCCAAGGTTATTTAAAATATCATGTTGTGCCAAAGAACGACCTGGGATCCGCTTGAAGCTCAAATAATAATGTGGCAGAAATGATCGATTCTTTTGCTAGTGTAGTGTGTTATACATCATTATGCGATACATCTTAATAATGCACATCATAAGACATACACAGCATGGTGATCTATTAAATAGTGCCATACATGAGGCCTGCACAACTCAAATTGTCAGGCGGGCCGTAATACTTGATAAAAAACTTGTTCGTGCCGAAGGTGAATAGGACGGTGTGGATCTGGGCAGGTATTAAGAGAACAAAAGAATGGTCCGTTACTTAACAGACCGCAAATATTGTGCTGGCGGGTCGAATGTCGTGCTGGCGGGCCGAATGTTGTGCTGGCGGGCCGAATGTTGTGCTGGAGGGCTGTATCTTGCGCTGGTGGGCCGTATGTTGTGCTGGCGGGCCGTATGTTATGTAGGCTTGTTATACATCATAGTGAATAATACATTCAGAATACATCAGCGCATTCAGTGTTCTCGACTCAGTGCACGGGCATCATGTATTCTATGTTATTTACAATAAAGCTTGGTTAACTATCCACATTGAACTTTTCACCCATTGAACTATTCACATTAAACTATTCACTTTTAACTATTCACCCATTGCACTATTTACATTGAACTATTCACCCATTGAACTGTTCACTTTGAACTATTCACATTGATCTATTCACATAGAGCTATTCACATTCAGCTATTCACACATTGAACTGTTCACTTTGAACTATTCACATTGATCTATTCACATAGAGCTATTCACATTCAGCTATTCACACATTGAACTATTCACATTGAACCATTCACATAGAGCTATTCACATTCAGCTATTCACAAATTGAATTATTAACCCAAAGAGCTATTCACCCATTGAACTATTCACTCATAGAACTTTTTACCCATTGATTTATTCACATATAGAAGTATTCATATAGAACTAGTAAAAATAGAACATATTCACACATAGAACTTATCAGCCATAGAACGAGTCACATAGAACATATTCACACATATTAAGATTGAAACCTACAACTATTTACCAATTTAATTATTCACTCATATAATTATTCACAAAGAGAACTATTCACACATAAAACTTTACACACATAGAAGTATACACACATAAAGCTTGACACACAAAGAAGTATACACACATAAAACTTTACACACATAGAAGTATACACACATAAAACTTTGCACATATAGAAGTATTCACACATACAACTTTACACACATAGAAGTATTCACACATACAACTTTACACACATAGAAGTATACACACATAAAACTTTACACACAAAGAAGTACTCACACATACAACTATACACATATTGTATCACCACTATAGGAAGAGTTACAAACCCTTAATTGACCCCAAGATTGAAGAGCTTCCTACCCATAGTTCCCACCGTACGCCTTGAACTTGTTTGGTCTGTAGCTCTGTACCGTCCAGGGGTAGGCTAAAACCTCGTCCTGGGAGGGCTGGACGTGGGCGGCACAATGTGGGCATCTCAACTGTTGTGAGCGTAACAAATTGTGGGCTTTGTGAGACAGTGACGGTTGTAATGTTGATATGATGGACTGTGACTGTTACAATGTTGATATGATGGACGTTGATGGTTGTAATGTTGATAAGATGGACTGTGACGGTTGTAATATTGATAAAATGGACTGTGACTGTTGTAATATTGATAAGATGGACTGTGATGGTTGTAATGTTGATAAGATGGACTGTGACGGTTGTAATGTTGATATGATGGACTGTGATGGTTGTAATGTTGATAAGATGGACTGTGATGGTTGTAATGTTGATAAGATGGAATGTGACGGTTGTAATATTGATAAGATGGACTGTGACGGTTGTAATGTTGATAAGATGGACTGTGATGGTTGTAATGTTGATAAGATGGACTGTGACGGTTGTAATATTGATAAGATGGACTGTGACGGTTGTAATATTGAAAAGATGGACTGTGATGGTTGTAATATTGATAAGATGGACTGTGATGGTTGTAATATTGATAAGATGGACTGTGACGGTTGTAATATTGATAAGATGGACTGTGACGATTGTAATATTGAAAAGGTGGACTGTGGCGGTTGTAATATTGAAAAGATGGACTGTGGCGGTTGTAATATTGATAAGATGGACCGTGACGGTTGTAATATTGATAAGATGGACTGTCACAATTGTAATAATCATGAGATGGACTGTCACGGTTTTAATGTTGATAAGATGGACTGTGATGGTTTTAATATTGATAAGATGGACTGTGACGGTTGTAATATTGATAAAATGGACTGTGGCGGTTGTAATGTTGATATGATGGACTGTGACGGTTGTAATGGTGATAAGATGGACTGTGACGGTTGTAATATTGATAAGATGGACTGTGACGATTGTAATATTGAAAAGATGGACTGTGGCGGTTGTAATATTGAAAAGATGGACTGTGGCGGTTGTAATATTGATAAGATGGACCGTGACGGTTGTAATATTGATAAGATGGACTGTCACAATTGTAATAATCATGAGATGGACTGTCACGGTTTTAATGTTGATAAGATGGACTGTGATGGTTTTAATATTGATAAGATGGACTGTGACGGTTGTAATATTGATAAAATGGACTGTGGCGGTTGTAATGTTGATATGATGGACTGTGACGGTTGTAATGGTGATAAGATGGACAGTGACGGATGTAATATTGATAAGATGGACTGTGACGGTTGTAATGTTTATAAGATGGACTGTGACGATTGTAATATTGATAAGATGGACTGTGACGGTTGTAATATTGATAAGATGGACTGTGACGGTTGTAATGTTGATATGATGGACTGTGATGTTGTAATGTTGATAAGATGGGCTGTGACGGTTGTAATGTTGATAAGATGGACTGTGACGGTTGTAATATTGATAAGATGGACTGCGATGGTTGTAATGTTGATAAGATGGACTGTGACGGTTGTAATATTGATAAGATGGACTGTGACGGTTGTAATATTGATAAGATGGACTGTGACGGTTGTAACGTTGATAAGATGGACTGTGACGGTTGTAATATTGATAAGATGGACAGTGACGGTTGTAATGTTGATAAGATGGACTGTGACGGTTTTAAAGTTGAAAAGATGGACTGTGGCGGTTGTAATATTGATAAAATGGACTGTGACGGTTGTAATATTGATAAGATGGACTGTGATGGTTGTAATGTTGATAAGATGGACTGTGACGGTTGTAATGTTGATATGATGGACTGTGATGGTTGTAATGTTGATAAGATGGACTGTGATGGGTGTAATGTTGATAAGATGGACTGTGATGGTTGTAATGTTGATAAGATGGACTGTGACGGTTGTAATGTTGATAAGATGGACTGTGATGGTTGTAATATTGATAAGATGGGCTGTGACGGTTGTGATATTGATAAGATGGACTGTGATGGTTGTAATGTTGATAAGATGGACTGTGACGGTTGTAATATTGATAAGATGGACTGTGATGGTTGTAATGTTGATAAGATAGACTGTGACGGTGGTAATATTGATAAGATGGACTGTGACGGTTGTAATATTGAAAAGATGGACTGTGATGGTTGTAATATTGATAAGATGGACTGTGATGGTTGTAATATTGATAAGATGGACTGTGACGGTTGTAATATTTGGACTGTGGCGGTTGTAATATTGAAAAGATGGACTGTGGCGGTTGTAATATTGATAAGATGGACCGTGACGGTTGTAATATTGATAAGATGGACTGTCACAATTGTAATAATCATGAGATGGACTGTCACGGTTTTAATGTTGATAAGATGGACTGTGATGGTTTTAATATTGATAAGATGGACTGTGACGGTTGTAATATTGATAAAATGGACTGTGGCGGTTGTAATGTTGATATGATGGACTGTGACGGTTGTAATGGTGATAAGATGGACTGTGACGGTTGTAATATTGATAAGATGGACTGTGACGATTGTAATATTGAAAAGATGGACTGTGGCGGTTGTAATATTGAAAAGATGGACTGTGGCGGTTGTAATATTGATAAGATGGACCGTGACGGTTGTAATATTGATAAGATGGACTGTCACAATTGTAATAATCATGAGATGGACTGTCACGGTTTTAATGTTGATAAGATGGACTGTGATGGTTTTAATATTGATAAGATGGACTGTGACGGTTGTAATATTGATAAAATGGACTGTGGCGGTTGTAATGTTGATATGATGGACTGTGACGGTTGTAATGGTGATAAGATGGACAGTGACGGATGTAATATTGATAAGATGGACTGTGACGGTTGTAATGTTTATAAGATGGACTGTGACGATTGTAATATTGATAAGATGGACTGTGATGGTTGTAATGTTGATAAGATGGACTGTGACGGTTGTAATATTGATAAGATGGACTGTGACGGTTGTAATATTGAAAAGATGGACTTTGATGGTTGTAATATTGATAAGATGGACTGTGGCGGTTGTAATATTGATAAGATGGACTGTGGCGGTTGTAATATTGATAAGATGGACCATGACGGTTGTAATATTTATAAGATGGACTGTCACAATTGTAATAATCATGAGATGGACTGTCACGGTTTTAATGTTGATAAGATGGACTGTGATGGTTTTAATATTGTTAAGATGGACTGTGACGGTTGTAATATTGATAAAATGGACTGTGGCGATTGCAATGTTGATATGATGGACTGTGACGGTTGTAATGGTGATAAGATGGACAGTGACGGATGTAATATTTATAAGATGGACTGTGATGGTTGTAATGTTTATAAGATGGACTGTGACGATTATAATATTGATAAGATGACTGTGACGGTTGTAATATTGATAAGATGGACTGTGATGGTTGTAATGTTGATATGATGGACTGTGATGGTTGTAATGTTGATAAGATGGGCTGTGACGGTTGTAATGTTGATAAGATGGACTGTGATGGTTGTAATATTGATAAGATGGACTGTGAGATTGTAATATTGATAAGATGGACTGTGACGGTTGTAATATTGATAAGATGGACTGTGACGGTTGTAATATTGATAAGATGGACTGTGACGGTTGTAATATTGATAAGATGGACTGTGACGGTTGTAATGTTGATAAGATGGACTGTGACGGTTGTAATATTGATAAGATGGACTGTGACGGTTTTAATGTTGATAAGATGGACTGTGACGGTTGTAATATTGATAAGATGGACTGTGGCGGTTGTAATATTGATAAGATGGACTGTGACGGTTGTAATGTTGTTATGATGGACTGTGACAGTTGTAATGTTGATAAGAAGGACTGTGACGGTTGTAATATTGATAAGATGGACTGTGACGGTTTTAATGTTGATATGATGGACAGTGACGGTTGTAATGTTGATAAGATGGACAGTGACGGATGTAATATTATAAAATGGACTGTGACGGTTGTATTGTTGATAAGATGGACTGTGGCGGTTGTAATGTTGATAAGATGGACTGTGACGGTTGTAATAGTGATAATATGGACTGTGACGGTTGTAATATTGATAAGATGGACTTTAACGGTTGTAATATTGATAAGATGGACTGTGACGATTGTAATATTGATAAGATGGACCGTGACGGTTGTAATATTGATAAGATGGACTGTGACGGTTGTAATATTGATAAGATGGACTGTGACGTTTGTAATATTGATAAGATGGACCGTGACGGTTGTAATATTGATAAGATGGACTGTGACGGATGAAATGTAACGTGATGACTCATTTAAACAAGGAACCAAATAGTTTCTATAGACGAAATGATGGATCGTGTATTTCTGGTCTTTATAAATTATCAAGGAACAAAGAAATTGCATTGTATAATCCTGACCTACTTCAGTCATCTAAATATATCAATCCTTAATTTTCTTAATAAACATATTTCATCGAAGTTCAACTGACCTTGTAGTCTCATCATGATGTAATATTGCATAAATATTCCAAACCAAAATAGCTGATTATCATAAATTGATGCTATTTACCATTGATAACTTACTGACCTCATCATAATACATTGATGGGATATTTTTGCTGGACTTCTCGGGTATAGAGTGGTAGCCGCAATATGACTTCCATTTTCTCCAGCCTCGCCTGGAAGGAAATTTTAAAACGATCATTAAAAAAAGTCAACAACAATGTTTTCACACACGCAATCTATAAATAGCTTCTGGTGCATTTTGCTTTCTATTCAAAACCGTGCTCCCCCACCCCAGCTTCCTTTGCTTTACATTGATTAGTACCAAGTGGAAACAAAGGCTGCCACGCAGTGAGCTGAATACGGGACGTTTGAACTCAGGTATATAGGTGGGTTTGGTTTCTTTAGAAAGGATGTGTTGCTTATATTTCACTTGTTTTAAAAACATTTTGGTTCTGGAATGAACGCCACTGAGTACTGGGTCATCAACATGCTTTCATTTCAGGCATGAGTGCGCCTGTGAGAATTTTCCGTAGCTTGGTACAGGAAGGTATTGCTATTTTTGATATACTGCTGATGTTGTTTCTTAAGTCTTTGCTATAATATGAACTGTACAGTATCTTCTCCGTCGGCGGGTTTTCATTCAACGACATCTCTATTCTGGGATCTGGTAATTGCCTGCTCTTATCTGTGGGTTATTTCAGGAGGGACTTCAGGGGTGAGGGGGGCAGTGTCAGTGGTGCGTGAGGCAGTGTCAGGTGGTGCGGTGTACAGTGTCAGGTGGTGTGGGACGCAGTGTCAGGAGGTGTGGGAGGCAGTGTCGGGTGCGAGAGGCAGTGTTAGGTGTCAGGGGGTGTGGGAGACAGTGTCAGAAGTGAGGGGTTGAGCTAGGCAGTGTCAGGAGAAAGGGGATGCCCTAGGCAGTGTCTAAGAGTGCAGAATGATCAGACAACCAGGTTTATTAACACTGTTTGTAGTGGAGTTAAGTATGCTTTTAAATCGAGATGGAGGTTCAGCCCTTAGCGTAAGAAGGGGTGCACAGACGGGCGATTCGCCCCAGCTGGAACTTTATTCCTTACATAGAGATTGGTCTTTTCGAAGAACTTCAACGTTTTATTCGGGGCATTGGGCGGAAAACTTCTGGGCTCGCTTCGGGCAGTGCTTGACTTAGCTATGTTATTGGGTGTAGGGCTTGACTTAGCTATGTTACTGGGTGCAGCGCTTGACTTAGCTATGTTACTGGATGTAGGGCTTGACTTAGCTATGTTACTGGGTGTAGGGCTTGACTTAGCTATGTTACTGGGTGTAGGGCTTGACTTAGCTATGTTACTGGGTGTAGGGCTTGACTTAGCTACGTTAATGGGTGTAGGGCTTGACTTAGCTATGTTACTGGGTGTAGGGCTTGACTTAGCTACGTTACTGGGTGTAGGGCTTGACTTAGCTACGTTACTGGGTGCAGTGCTTGACTTAGCTATGTTACTGGGTGTAGGGCTTGACTTAGCTACGTTACTGGGTGTAGGGCTTGACTTAGCTATGTTACTGGGTGTAGGGCTTGACTTAGCTATGTTACTGGGTGTAGGGCTTGACTTAGCTACGTTACTGGGTGCAGTGCTTGACTTAGCTACGTTACTGGGTGCAGTGCTTGACTTAGCTACGTTACTGGGTGCAGTGCTTGACTTAGCTACGTTACTGGGTCAAGTGCTTGACTTAGTTATGTTACTGGGTGCAGTGCTTGACTTAGCTATGTTACTGGGTGTAGGGCTTGACTTAGCTATGTTACTGGGTGCAGCGCTTGACTTAGCTACGTTACTGGGTGTAGGGCTTGACTTAGCTACGTTACTGGGTGTAGGGCTTGACTTAGCTACGTTACTGGGTGTAGGGCTTGACTTAGCTACGTTACTGGGTGCAGTGCTCGACTTAGCTATGTTACTGAGTGTAGGGCTTGACTTAGCTACGTTACTGGGTGTAGGGCTTGACTTAGCTACGTTACTGGGTGTAGGGCTTGACTTAGCTATGTTACTGGGTGTAGGGCTTGACTTAGCTATGTTACTGGGTGTAGGGCTTGACTTAGCTACGTTACTGGGTGTAGTGCTTGACTTAGCTATGTTACTGGTTGCAGCGCTTGACTTAGCTACGTTACTGGGTGCAGTGCTCGACTTAGCTACGTTACTGGGTGCAGTGCTCGACTTAGCTACGTTACTGGGTGCAGCGCTTGACTTAGCTATGTTACTGGGTGCAGCGCTTGACTTAGCTACGTTACTGGGTGCAGTTCTTGACTTAGCTATGTTACTGGGTGCAGCGCTTGACTTAGCTACGTTACTGGGTGTAGGGCTTGACTTAGCTATGTTACTGTGTGCAGTGCTCGACTTAGCTACGTTACTGGATGCAGCGCTGCAAGTGTTAAGAATCACTGGTCGAAAGATTTAAGTTTATACCACCCAAATGTAATGAGGATATGTTAAGGATTCTAAAGATTATGACTTCAGCTTTAATCCCATCTTACCGTTTGTTGTACATTGCAATCCTGGGCTCATAGTTTGTGGTGTCCGGGCGTGGCTTGAGGACCACGACCTCCTGTTGCTGCGCGTGACGAGGAGTCTCGTACCTGAGTGGAGGCTCGGACCTGGCCGAGATGTAGTGGATGTGGGCGTTGTGGTGGTCATAATGCCCCGGTGGACGCTGGCGGTCCCGTTCAGGAGGTGGTGTGTCGATGGGACGATGTGCCGGTGTGATGTGGCGTCTGGGTGTGGGGGTGACTTCACGCCGAGGTAGTGGCGTCATACTCCGGGGTGTGTAATCGGAGTAGAAGTCTCTATACTTTTGTCCATATGTGGGGTCGGAGTCATATCGCTTTCTCTGGTGGTAGGTCGAGTAATCGTCTGATCGGCTTGGGGGATCGTATTCGTAATCGCGACGTCGCTTGTGCCTGGAGCCTTCCGTTTGATGGTGATGGAACTTGATAGGAACCATGTCATTCGATTTCAACTTGATATCTTATTACAAAAAGGAATATTAGAATGTATCTTCATATATAATTATATCTATCTGTGACTTTATTCCCCGATAATGTGTTACTCTCTATCCCAACATATTGTTACTCTCTATCTCAAAATTGTATTAATCTCTAACCCAACATTCTATTACTCTCTATCTTAATATTGTTTTACTCTCTAACCCAACATTGTGTTACCCTCTAAACCCAACATTGTGTTACCCTATAACCCAACATTATGTTACTCTCTATCACAACATTGTGTTACTCTTTATACCAACATTGTATTACTCTCCATCGCAACATTTTATAAATCTCTATCCCACCATTGTTTTACTCTCTATCACAACATTGTTTTACTCTTTATCCCAACACTGTATTACTCTCCATCCCAACATTGTATAAATCTCTATCCCACCATTGTTTTACTCTCTATCCCAACATTATGTTACGCTAGATGTGCATTGTAAACTGCAAATGGAAATACTCAGATTTTTGAAACAATTCTTCTTGTAATTATTAATTTTTTTATTCATTTTGCAGATAAAACTAAATCAATTCGATCCATTATACACCTGTGATCTATATTTGATCTACACACGTCTCATTAACACAACAACATTGATAAAATATATGGACGCCAAAGCCTCAAATCACGTCCTACCCATGCACAAAGTTCACATTTTTGAAAGACTCATGGAGAACGTGACCAGATTTTATCTCTTGTCCATATCTTTTTTTTTTTTTTCGCTTCCAAAATGTCGTTCTGCTTTTGATCACTTTTAATCCATTTGATGACTATAACACTTGACGTTATCAGCCTAACATAATATGCTACTAAGCTTTCTCTTTTTTATGGACGCCAAAGCCTCAAATCACGTCCTACCCATGCACAAAGTTCACATTTTTGAAAGACTCATGGAGAACGTGACCAGATTTTATCTCTTGTCCATATCTTTTTTTTTTTTTTTCGCTTCCAAAATGTCGTTCTGCTTTTGATCACTTTTAATCCATTTGATGACTATAACACTTGACGTTATCAGCCTAACATAATATGCTACTAAGCTTTCTCTTTTCATATCTTCCAAGCGAATTTAACCAAACACCAAATAATTTATTGTCTACACAAACCTATGAGACTTGTACACAAACATGTGTGACTTTAACACAAACATGTGTGACTTTAACACAAACCTGCGTGACTTCTACACAAACATGTGCGACTTGTACACAAATCTATGTGACTTGTACACACACATGTGTGACTTGTACAAAAAATATGTGTGACTTGTGCACAAACATGTGTGACTTATACACAAACCTATGTGACGTGTACCAAAAATATATGTGACTTGTACACAAACCTGTGTGACTTGTGCACAAACATGTGTGACTTATACACAAACCTATGTGGCGTGTACCAAAAATATGTGTGACTTGTACACAAACCTGTGTGACTTGTACATAAACACGTGTGACTTGAACACAAACCTGTGTGACTTGTACACAAACTACTTTCTTTATCGACCGTGTGTAACACAACGAGGATTTAGTTGACGTGAAGAGTTTTGACGCCAGACATCACAAAACTCCGTGAATGAATCGTGTTATCAAAGTGGTAAGCAGTTCTGAAGGCGAATCCGGGTACAGCCCCCCTTTTAAGGGAGATAACATTGAGAGAGCAGTGTTTTATATTAGCTCCCTTTACGACCATTTCCACAGATTCAAGCAGTGCCGCAGTGAACATGATCTATGATTATCCTGGACTTCTGAGGATAAAATTAATACACAAAAACGCAACATTTATTACTGCATTGATACCATAACAAGGCTATGGAAGCCATAACACGGCAATCGTTTCCATAACTAGCCATTGGATGGCATTACACGGCAATGGATGGCATAACACTGCAGTAAATGTAATTACACGACAATGGATGCCATAACACGACAATGGATGCCATAAGACGGCATTGGATGCCATACCACGACAATAAATGTCATAACACGACAATGGATGCCATACACGACAATGAATGTCATAACACGACAATGGATGCCATAACACGACAATAAATGTCATAACACGACAATGGATGCCATAACACGACAATGAATGTCATAACACGACAATGGATGCCATACCACGACAATGGATGCCATAACACGACAATGGATGCCATAACACGACAATGGATGTCATAACACGACAATGGATGTCATAACACGACAATGGATGCCATTACACGAGAATGGATGCCATAACACGACAATGGATGCCATAACACGACAATGGATGCCATAACACGACAATGGATGCCATAACAAGACAATGGATGCCATAACACGACAATGGATGCCATAACACGACAATGGATGCCATAACACGACAATGGATGCCATAACACGACAATCGATGCCATAACACGACAATAGAGGCCATAACACGACAATGAATGTCATAAGACGACAATGAATGTCATAAGACGACATTGGATGCCATAACAAGGCTATGGTTGCCATAACATGGCATTGATGCCATAAGACAGCATTGTATGCCATTAGACAGCAATGGCTGCCATAAGACAGCATTGGATGCCATAACAAGGCAATGAATGCCATAACAAGGCTATGGTTGCCATAACATGGCATTGATGCCATAACACGCAATTGTTGCCATTCTGTTGTTAAAAACAAAAGTGGCTTGAAAACTTGGAAACTAATACAAGACCGTGGACGTTTCGGCCAAAAGTCATCGCCAACCATTCGAATCGCAACCTTAACATCGAGTCAAGCTGCAAACGTGCCATCCTACAACTCCGTAAACCTATGGGCTCGTCAACCAACCTAACACAATGCCAACCTACCAATCCATCATCCTACCGCTCGCAAAACTATGGCCTCGCCAACCTACCTACCACTTTACACCCATACCAAAGATAAACCTATATACCTGTTGCCAACCTACCAGATGCCAACCTTCCAGTGACCAACCTATAAGTGGCCAACCTATTAGTCGCAAACCAACCATTTGCTAACCTACCAGTCGTCAAGCTACCAGTAGCCAACCTGTCGCCTCTTAAAACGAATTTATAGCCAGCTCGTCACGACCCCCAAACTCCATTTCTTTATTTGATTTACAGCTATCATAAGGATATATTGACTTTAGAAATAGATATTGATCCAGCAATCAAAACTATGACCACGTGACATAGATCTGACGACTGTCATTTTTTTTTTGTTTGGTGGTTTGGGGGGGGGGCGCACAAATGGTTAATCGGTACCTCATGCGTCACATCCAGATATTCAATTGGCCAAAATAGATTTGGAGTCCTCACCGTACTTTTACGAGTGTTGTAAAGGGCCAATTGTATCGCTCGAATGATCCAATGTAACTATTTTCCCCCTATTGGTTTGCGGTCATAACAATACAGTGAAAGGACTCCTGGTGGCATTCGTTGTTCAAGGGAACAAGCCAACTGACAGTCATTAGTATTTCTATTTTTGAATCCGTTTAAATCTATGATAGGGAGTTCACCGAAATCTGTATCATCGTCACTTACATTCCACCTAATGCTAACAAGCTGCAGGCTATTGAGAGACTTTTGGATTTACTCCATGAAAAATAAGACTTCGAAAGACTGACATTCAGCGTGCTCCCCTTGAAGTCACAAGTCTTGATGAGAACTAACACTACAGAGTTCACTGAATGGATGGTTTGTGTGTGTGTGTGTGTGTGTGTGTGTTTTTCACTAGTGAAATAATTAAATGTAGATGTCTTGTGTTCAAATTGTTTAATTTATGTGCTGAAAATTTACAATGCAACCAAGAAGCATTTCCATTTGTTTGGATCAATAAAAGAATCTTATCTTAACTTATCTATATAAAACCAATTCTAAAATTATATCTATTTAACTGTTTAGTAATACTGGGTAGCTGTGCAGCCGAGGGAATGGTAGGAATGAGGCGTCTTGAATTTTGATACAATAAACAAAACAATACCACGGATGTTTCGACCAAACGCCTTCGTCTGCCAACTGAAGGATAAACATTGACTAGACATGAAAGTGTAGACAAGTGTGACGATGACTAGTTGACCTGAGTTCATCAAGTACACAACACAGCTGCACACACACAATAAGGCAGACACTTCGGATCGATGGTACTTGGACGATGACTTAACATTGAAACCAAACACATGGTTAGATGCTACGAGAGGTCCCTCTGGAGTTTTAGACCTGTACTCAAAGAAAACTCCAGCATCTCCTTAGTTGCTCCCATGGTGCAAAGCTGTATCGATTACAAAACTGTCATTTTTGGGTTCACCAGCTGCGTGGAGAACTCATCTAAAAGTCTAGGCTATAAAACTTGGTCACTTTCAGCTGAATAACCATCACATTTTTACATTTTAAGAGTAACAATATTTGTGTAGGCTACAATGTGACAGCTAATAACAAGACACACAGTGTGTCTTAAAAGTCAAGCTGGGCTATTGCCCAAAGCTGAGTGTCCCATGCTATTCCATATATGTCGTGACTGAGTGTCCCATGCTATTCCATATGTGTCTAGACTTGATGTTAATAGACGGCTTTATGTCACTTACAATTTGTCTTTCAGCAGGACCGTCTCAACATATCAGGGGTTTTGGGAAAATAAATACAATGAGTCTAGCCTATTTCAGGGGCGTCTATACAGGAAGGGGAGGGAGGGAAGGAAGCTGTTGTTTCCCATTCAAGATGGGGTGGAGTGATAAAATTCCCCATTTACCTGCCTTTTAAAATTTCTCCAGGTAAAAAAAAAATTAACACGGGCAAGAAAACAATAAAAAGACACTTTTCAAAAACAAAAAAATGATAATAATATTTGTAATTGTAAGGGCCTGGAGATAGATATTTTTTTATATTTCGGACGGAAAAACAATTTTAAAAGTCAAGAATTTCAAAGTTATTGGAGAAATTGGAACCGTTTGCCATCAGTAGTTTTATGGAGAAATTAATTTTGAATTTGTTTATTACTAATAATTCATAGTCCAAGGTGTAGGTAGGAAGGGTTGTAAACTATACCACTACGAGGGTTGGGGGGAGATAGACGCCGCTGATTCTCTCTAGCCAGGGTTTTAGAATATATCATCGTGGGGGGGGGGAGAGGGAGGGAAGGAAAAGGGATCTACGTCAGTGTCAAAATTATGCATAATGACACCCTGGGTCAGTTCTGACGTCGACACCCTGGGTCAGTTCTGACGTCGACACCCTGGGTCAGTTCTGACGTCGACACCCTGGGTCAGTTCTGACGTCGACACCCTGGGTCAGTTCTGACGTCGACACCCTGGGTCAGTTCTGACGTCGACACCCCGGGTCAGTTCTGACGTCGACACCCTGGGTCAGTTCTGACGTCGACACCCTGGGTCAGTTCTGACGTCGACACCCTGGGTCAGTTCTGACTACGACACCCTGGGTCAGTTCTGACGTCGACACCCTATGTCAGTTATGACGTCACCACTCTGGGCAAGATTTGAGGTCGTCAGCCCCGCAATACATTAGCATAAATTCATCCGGTTGTGGCATTCCCGGAAGGTTGCGTGGCACCCCTGGAGGGTTGCGTGGCACCCCTGGAGGGTTGCTTTTGGTCCCACTTAGTTTCGCTCCTGAAATCTATATAGTCCAAATATAAAATATAAAATAATGGAATTGATTTGATCATCTAGAAACTAGGTAAACCTTCTTCCCTAGACACATTGAAAGCAAACCTCAAATTCTCCAAATATCTTTCAAGTTTCAATTTAAAAAATGGGCCAATTGATGCCCGTAGAAACGTGAGGCTCCACAGAAGCCTGATAACTTTGGGAAACTGCCCAGTGTGTCCAGTGTGCCCAGTGTGCCCAGTGTGCCCAGTGTGCCCAGTGTGCCCAGTGTGCCCATGCCTTAAGAGGCACTGCCTATCAGGTTCTCTTAACTTTGAAAACATCATGTTATTTGGACAATACCTCTCGTCTCCCTTTATTCTTCACTAACCAATCACTTTGAGACTCTCTTTGGTTCACATTTATATGTCACTTTTAAAAACGATTTTCAAAAACAAGGATGTCGTGGACACCATAATCTCATGGAAACCAAGTTCTCGTGGATATAAAAATCTCGTGGACACCAAGATCACGTTGACACCAAAAATGTCGTGTACACCAAGATCACTTTGACACCAAAAATGTCGTAGACACAAGATCACGTTGACACCAAAAATGTCGTCGACACCAAGATCACGTTGACACCAAAAATGTCGTCGACACTAAGATCACGTTGACACCAAAAATCTCGTAGACACCAAGATCTCGTGGACACCAAGATCTCGTGGACACCAAGATCTTGTGGAGCGGTTTCCTCAATTTTAAACATAGACAGTCAACGTCATACTAATAGCAAACAGATTAAGTTTCCAATAGATTGACAGTCGACGTCATACTAATAGCAAAAAACAACTAAGAACAAACATAGAAGCTTTGAGTACACACTCATCTCACCTTTATAAAATCACCATTAACTGATTTAAGATTAAAACTGAGTTGAAGGTTCTCAAAGTAATAATATAACAAAAAAGATTTGGTCACGGACGT